CGAGACCATGGTTCTCAGACGGAAACGGGTGGTTTGCCTTCTTCGGGTCGGGGAAGACGTACTGCCTCAAGTGGAGGAGTTTAAGTATCTCGGGGTCTTGTTCACTTGTGAGGGTAGGCAAGATCGGGAGCCGGATAGACGAATCGAAGCGGCGTCTACAGTTTTGCAGGCACTTAACCGGTCCGTCGTGGCTAAGAAAGAACTGAGCCAAAAAGCAAAGCTCTCGATCTATTGGTCCATCTTCGTCCCTACCCTCACCTATGGTTATGAGCTATGGGTAATGACCGAAAGAATGAGATCGCGAATACATGCGGCCGAAAGGAGGTTTCTCCGCAGGGTGTCTGGGCTCTCCCTTAGGGATAGGGTGAGAAGTTCGAATATCCGGGAGGCCTCAGAGTAGAACCGTTGCTTCTTCATGTGGAAAGGAGCCAGTTGAGGTGGTTTGGACATCTTGTGCGGATGCCTCCTGGGCGGCTACCCGGAGAGGTTTTCCGTGCATGTCCTACAGGAAGGAGGCCCCGGAGCAGACCCAGGACTCGCTGGAGGGATTATATCTCTCGGCTGGCCTGGGAACGCCTCGGTGTCCTCCCCGAGGAGCTGGTAGAGGTAGCTGGGGAGAGGGAGGTCTGGGTGTCTCTCCTGAAGCTGCTACCCCCGCGACCCGAACCCCGGACAAGCGGCAGGTAATGGATGGAATAATGGATGGATGGATGTTCTGAGATGCTTAAAAACCTGGACATGTGATCTGGATGCTCTGGCCCTCAGGTTTGTAGATGAATGAAGGATGCAGCTGCAAGTTGCTTCTAATAAAACCTAAGCCACTCCTTAATGGGGTGGTGAATTGGGTTATGATTATGTTTAATGTTGATGCCTGGATGTACTTCAGCAGTATGGGCTTCCTCGTTATAGAATATTCTATAAGTGATATAGGTAATGGTGGACTAACATTAAAATCCAATCCTAACTTGATCTTAAATGGAGACACAGTTCGAAATGGTCTCCTGGGGGCATTAAAGGCAAGGCGGTTTATTTTATGAATATAAACTCTATACCAGGGGTACCCAATCTTATCCGCAAAGGGCCGGTGTGTATGCAGGTTTTTGGGATAACCTGTAGGTCAGCTGTTCAAACCCAGGTGTGAAGACTTTTTCAGCCAATCAGTCCTCTAATTAGTAATCTAATTAGGGAGTTGCAGCGAAAACCCGCATACACACCGGCCCTTGGCGGATAAGATTGGGTACCCCTGCTCTATACCAAAGAAATGGTTATAGAAGACCGATATTATTATTTGATTATTTTTAATTGGTGTATTGTAATTTGCTTCTTTTCTTATAGTCCATGAAGCTGAATTTGGTGGCGGCACCATCTTTTTTCAGAAACTTCACAGTGGGTGGGGGTATTGTCTGCTTTATGCTATCCTATATTCCCTTTCTAACCAGCTGCAGTTTTTGGAGATAAGGGCCAAACAGTGATACGATTATTCAGCCACATGCATAGACCCACAACCAACCCTTAGTGTTGTGATGAAGGTGAGTCGCAATATCAGGCAAGGTTCTGTGCACCAGCAGGGGGCGATCAACATCATACAGGTCAACTGTAACCATGGTTTCCTTGCAAGCAGCCAAAAGGAGTGTAAGGAGGGCCTGGTTGGTGGCTGATAATTGCAAGACTTAAAGCTGGGAATAATGTGCCAAGAAGTAGAAAAGGGAAGCTGGCTGTGGATGTGGGTGGTGCATGTGTATTGGAGGTTGACTGCCTGAAGGGCCTGGTGTCTCCTGAGTGATTCTTTTTCTAGTAGCTTCTTAATTTTTTCCCTATAGAAACCTTGACCCTTCAGGGGTATTTGCTTGCTTTCTTGTCTCTTGTGCCTCCTGCTACTTTTTGCATGTGGAGTGAGCAGTATACCATTTGAGCTAATTCCCCAAGCATGCATGAGATCCCCCCTCCCCAAGCTCCTCTTCAGGTGCTGATCCCAGGACCTGCAAAGGAAAGAAGATGAGGGGGTGGAAAGGGAAAGTTCATGCTGCTCATCAGGGAACCAGCCACATGGGACCAGCGATGGGTTAGTACCTGACCTGCCCAATCCTGTCAATTCTGCCCTGGAAATTGAGTCCTCATCCCAAATACCTCTCGGTAAAGGTGGGTGCTGTAAACTCGCAGGTCTGGCTGCCTGTCTACATGTCAACCTTCTGAGACCACACCTTGCCTGCCACAAGCTGCTTCTTTGGACTGACCAGTGGGGTCAAGATAATGCATAACAGTGCAGTATTTATCAGTTAAAGTTATACTTGACCTATTTAACGGTTTGCTTGTCTTGAAAGCAAGGTAGTTGAATTTCATTGAAATTCATTAACCTTTTGAACCAAAGCTGTATAACTACATGAGTATTATGTACTCTGAGTATTAGTGTGCTTTATTTGCCAGTAAGGGGTAGGTTGCACTGTTCCCTGATAAATCCTCCCCGTTCAATATGGGGAGTACACTTGTTGGCCCTGCATTGTGGGTGTGCTCTCACCTATAACCCAGGAAAGGGTGACTGGCTGAAATGGTCACTTTAATCTGACCGTAGTGGTAAACTAAAACATGTAAAAATGCATGGATTATTTAGTATTTTTAATTATTTGTGTAGCAACGCTGTGAGTAACTTGATACTACTTAATTCATTTTATAACTTAGAAAAAAACTTTGAGGATGTCAAGAAGTAATATTAATTATCTTTAATGCAGCTTCTTAAAGATTATAAATCATTTGCCAGGAAACTATCATGGGGAGAATTTGAATTTAAGATTACCTCAGACAACAAGACTGCTTTAATTATGCTGATTTGTGAGTATAATTGGAAAGATGGAGTTTTTTTCCCACCCATCTTGCACAGTGCCTTTCCATTACTGGGTCATTATAAGCCTTTGAACCTAAGGAAAAAACAGGATAAAGCAGATATAAAAACAAGATAGCATAACACGCAGTACGATTTCCCTGTCAAAACCGTTATGTTCCTTATGTGGTCTTTGAGAATGTGCGTTATATACTAATGTGTGGTAAAATTCATTGTTGCATGACTAGCATGTTTTAAATAACATCTATAACGTATATAAATTGCAGAACAAATGCATTAGGCTGACTGTAAGTTTTCATGACATTCATTTATATTTAATTGCTTTGTTAATGCTTGATTTTAAGTCATTCATGTACTGTAGCAATTACAATTGATTTTAAACGTGTGGTTCAATGGTTCAGTAGGTGTCGCTGTTGCAACACACCTGCAGGGTTAGGGGTATTCATTATGGAGGCTGAATGTGCACGCTGTTTCTATGTTGTACAGATTTCCTCTGGGTACCCTGATTTCCTTCCAAAGTTCAAAGATATGCAGTTAATTAAATTGCTATCTTAAAGTTTCCCATATCTTGTACTTATGCTTAGTGTGTGGTTTAAGTTTTTCTCACAGACACACAAGAAACACATCCATCCATCTTTCGTTAACACTTATCCAGTGCAGATTTGTGGTACTAGGGGAAAATAAATGTAACTCAGTCTGAAAGTGACACTAAAGCAAACGCGACCAGAAGCTCAAACCTGTATACCCCGCAATATCAGCCTATAGTTCCTCACATTTCGTTAGGGAAGATTTCATCTTTGAATTTAATTCAAGACTGTAGAATATAGGCCCAAAGAACAGACCCAAAGGGGGATTTTGAATAACACACAAGGGGCATGTAATTCCTTCTCCCACACATCCTCGTTTTTCTCGCTCGAAGCCCACGTTTGCCCACCAGAGGTCAGTGCCCACACAGTATTTGCTTCAGACATTATCTACATCAGCTTCCTCCTCAGTGGCTGTCTCTGTGTAGGTGGGGAACTAGTGCAGCACCAAGCTGTGGCTGCCCCATAATGTTCCCGTCGTCCTTTCCATTGTTCCTCTGGATTATGGCTGATCTGCACTAAGAGGCTCCGCTTTGAGAAATGAGAGCGCTTTCGGGCCGGGTGTGAATTTTCGAAGGTCCTATAGTCTGCTGACCAGCGGTGAAATTTTGGAGAAGAAAGAGGCGATGTTGACAACAAAGAGGCACCGTGCAGCCCTCTATGCCTGAGTGGAGTCCGAGGCATAGGGGATGGCTGGATGAAGATCAAAACGCCTCCACGCCTCGGAAAGCTTCATAAATACAAGCGTGGATGAAGTCTAACACATAAAGGTTCCCGGTACGGCTCTGGATTTTATTGCCCACTAATGCAAATCGTATATTGATGAAACGTTTGAAAGGACGCGCAGTTAATTGAGCTGGACTCAAAATGCCTCGCTAGATTATTTAATTGACTAGAGGGTGGATCACATTGCACATCAACCGAAGCCACGGGATTCCGGTTTTTCGTTTTATTTCTACTGATTGCATTTTTAATTCCATCTGCAGTGTGGTAGTGTTAGACTAGCAGGCTCTGAACATTATCGCTGAAAATTTATGGGGTGGGAAAAAAGGCGAATCGACACAATATTTGCTGGGAGGAAATTAAAATATGCGTTGAAGGAGACATACGATGATTATTGGGGTTAAACCCAAAGGGAAAGACGACGCAGAGAATTACAACTGTATAAGGATCCCCTTTGGAAAGAAAAAGAAACCGTTGTCATTTTTCTTGTTTTCTTTGGTTCTGTTAGATCAACTAGACGTCTTAAGGGAACCATTAAATACAAAGTAGGCTGTCTGACTCGAGAAGCCCATGCTGATTTTAAAATCGTTGCAAGATGGTTAGCTTGCAGTAGAATAAACACGGTGTTTTATATTGACATCGAATGTGTTTCGTAAAATAATACCAGTATAAGCTGGTTTCGTAAAATAATACCAAAACAGCTGATGTGATTCTATTGTACTGACCGACTAGTAAAACACCTTGATTACATAACTGGAGTAATTGCGTTTGAACTTTTTGAACTTCTTGGATCCGGATTAACGCCATCGGTTTCGGTCCCGATCCACCGAGCCGGAGCTCAGCATCCATACCATGGCAGCGGTGGTAAGCTACTCTCCGCCCTGGTGGGTCAGCCTCCTCCACCGGCTCCCGCACTTCAACTTCCAGTTCGAGCGGACAAGCAATGAATTTCGTCCGGAGGATGCGGATTACCAGCAGGTAATTTCAATAGCCCTTTAACTGCAACCTTGTTATAATATCAAGGTGTAAATAAATATCAGCAATACTCAACATAAACAAGATCCCTTAAATGAATATTGGTCTTTTTCAAACTGTAGAAATTGTTACTTGAGTATATTTCATTCCGCAGTTTTGAGAAGGTTTTTCGTTTCGATTGAGTGACCCATATAAAATACAGGTCAGGTGGATGTTCCGTGACTGAGACTTGTCGTCATTTTGATGTGATATTTAAGTCTGTCATCCTTATTAAAATGTACATTTGTGATGAGAATTGGATTTAAATTTTTATTTTCCTCCTGTGGGTCCCAATATGCGTAATATGTGCTGAGAATGAAATTCTGGCTCCTTGACACACTATCTGTAGAACCCCCCCCCCCCCATCCTCCCATAATTTATGTCCATGCCCACATTTGTATGTCGCTGTGTTGCAGTTAAGATATTGACGTGAACAGGAGCTAGGTAACGTATTCTAAAGCCCACCACAACCTGACTGTGTTAACTCCAGCAAAGGGGGGCTCCCTCGCCGGCATAGTGAAGGAAGCAGATGGCTCACAGTTGAGCAAATGCGTGAGCGGCGACCGTGTGAGTCAGCCGGACATCCCATTTACATACATCCGTGCTGCTGCTACTGGCTTTTCCTTTCCGTCTTTCCCTTTATGGAGAATGGTGAGAGGATGCCGCTCAAGTTCACAGGAGAGCTTTGCAGGGCTGTAAGGATGAGTGAGTGCCAAAGGCATCATCCACGCCATCTCCAATCACACACTTGGCAGCTGCTGACGGCACAGACAGTGCCCCTTCCTGGCCCCTCATGTACCCGGCAGGAAATGGGAGATTCCCATTCGCCCTCTGGGTCGCTGTTTATGTGCACCTCCTGACCCCGTTCTCCTGAGTAACCTGTACTGATCCTTCGAGGAGGCCATCCTTGTTGCGTAGCCCCGGCAAGCGTGAACTGAAACTTCTCCACGGTTTCTGCTTGCTTTGTTGCAGCCTTTGGTCCATGACATATTGGACTTAAATAAGATGGAGGTCCTTCAGAGATAATCAAAACACTTTTAGGTCTGAAGTTGTCCAGTACCTAACTTAAAGTGTTAGTGTGACTGGGATGAAATGTATTGGCTTTGAGATTCAGCCATCCACCCTAAGTAATAGCTCATCTCATTAGGGTGATTGTGATCTCAGCAGGACCATCAGGAGCGAGGCAGGGAATGACACACACACACATGCACACACACATGTAGGGTAAACATATCCTTATGGGGACCGCTCATTCATTTCAATGGGAAAAATGCTAACACCAACTATAACAACCTTAACCCCTACCCTGCCCTAACCATAACCATAAGTAACCTAACAAAATAGAAGAGTTTTTGCATTTTTAGTTTTTTCATAGCAGTCACCGATTTTTATAAAATAGAGTTTTCCCTTATGGGGACCAGGAAACCGGGGGCGGCATGGTGGTGCAGTGGTTACCACTGTTGCCTCACACCTCTGGGACCTGGGTTCGAGTCTCCGCCTGGGTCACATGTGTGTGGAGTTTGCATGTTCTCCCCGTGTCGTCGTGGGGTTTCCTCCGGGTACTCCGGTTTCCCCCACAGTCCAAAGACATGCTGAGGCTAATTGGCATTGCTAAATTGCCCTTAGGTGTGCATGTGTGAGTGAATGGTGTGTGAGTGTGCTCTGCGATGGGCTGGCCCCCCATCCAGGGTTGTTCCCTGCCTCGTGCCCATTGCTTCCGGGATAGGCTCTGGACCCCCCGCGACCCAGTAGGATAAGCGGGTTGGACAATGGATGGATGGGACCAGGAAACCGGTCCCCATAACAGAAAAAAAATGGATATTTATCACGTTATGGGGACGTTATGTCCCCATAAGGATAGGTAAACCCCCCCCCCACACACACACACACACACAAAAAAAAATTTCAATTTCAATTTAAACGGGAAAAAATCCCATCAATCCCAACAATGACAACCCCTACCCAGCCATAACCTTAACCACAAAACACAAGATTTTTGGGTATTTTACTGTTTTGATTGCAGTCACACTTTTGTGTAAGACTGAGATTTCCCTTGTGTGGACTGGAAAAATGTTCTCACAAGGTCAAAATAATAGGTTTTTATAACCTTATGGGGATGTTTGGTTCACCTGAGCTGCAGGTCTGTGGAAAGTGTTTGCAAACTGGGGCCCAGACGTGTTTAACACCCCGATCTCTCGCACCTGGGCCTGTCACACTGGAGCTCTGATAGTTTCCACACTAACATAAAGCATCTTGCCAGTTCAGTTTCAGCTCTAATTAATCAATGATGAGCAATACCAGTGGGTTCCTCCTTGTATTTAGTTCACAGTGTAGATGTAGCGACATGTGTAATGTCTTTTAAATCGCCTATTCATCAGTTAATTGTGCTTTTCCCTTTATTTCAAACTGCATTGGCTGTGCTGCTTGGCCACCTTCAGCCCTTGGTATCAAACTGCACCTATGCTGACAGTCACCAGTGAAGCAGTTAATCTCCAACTAATGTCTCTCTTCCCCCTCCCCCCCCATATTGAAGTTTAGATTCAAAGTTTGTGCAAAACGCTTGAAAAGCGATTCTTTATTGATTGGATCTTCTGAAGAATGTTTTACAACTGCTCAGGCTGTGTCTGCAGGCTCCATATTTTTAAATGTAATTTGACATCATACTTTGGATAGAAATTAAGAGAAGCTGCTGCATATGTAATTTTTGATTGTGTATTGCGTCAGCCTGTGATTTTGATGCAGAAGCCCCTTTTCACTTCTGTGCATCACTTAGACTGTGAGTGATCCTTTTGTCTTTGAATGGATTTCTACTAAAAGGAAAAACCTGCTAATATCTAGAAATTGATTTAATCTTCTGCTCCTTTACTTGCTTCTACTTAAAACTACATTATTAGTCCGAAACGGATGTTAATAGCAAAGTTGTGTAGGCAGCCAGTGGCATTAGCATCAGATTTGCATGGATTTTAGTGACTTTAATTCATAAGCACTGCTATTAAACTTAATGAAAGTAATACTTTGCTGTCATCCATCCATCTTCCAGCCACTTAGCCCAGACTGGGGAGGGGAGTTGGCACGCCATCATCCTGGCACAAAGCAGGAGTGTACCCTGGATGGGTAACGGGTTCTATGTCATACAGTCTCACACACATTACATACAATTTAGTGATGCCAGTTGGCCTAACTCTGTATCTTTGGTCTGCAGCAGAAAACTAGAGAATGTGGAGCAAACTATTTTGCTTTTCGTTGAATATAAATATTTTCTCATTACTTGGATAGTTTTTCCTCTGCACCAGATATGCATGGAGTATCAGTTTTTTCTTTGTCATTATGTGATCTCATATTTTTCCATGATTCTAGTCGTATCCATGTTATTTCCATGCCATAGTCAGTAACCTTTTTTATTTTTGTTTTTTACTACCCCATTTAAATTTCCAACTCAAAGTTTCACTGAGCTGACGGTATGCTTTGCACTGATTTGGTCTTGATGTGTCTGTGCAATATCAGAATCGTTTATTGCCTGATACTTTTATATCTAAAGGTGTCGTGCAAAACAGTCAAGACGATATAATAGAGTACATGTATTTTAGGACTGGTCTATCAAATGATGCTTTACGTCTTTTCTGTCTTGTCGTTATTTTCGAAGTTGCTCATATTTGCTCATTTCAAGCTCATGTCGAGTTTGAGATGGTCCGCCTTTGGTTTCGCTCTTTTACTGAGAGTCTTCGTTAGAGATGATGTCAGAAGCAGCCGTAGCAATGTGTCCTCCTCCTCAAGATCTGTCCAAATCTGATAATCTGATCAGTTTATGAGGTGTGGACGTTGTTTTTGCATGTAGTAGCCTCAAGCAGCTATGCTTTGGGTGCAATGTCAGCAGTGACGGTCTTCTCACTTACTGTGACTTATTGTCCCCAAATAATTATGATTTCTGTTCTCAGTTCCTCTGTCAAATTTTATTAAAGTAGTATAAAGCATATATGAGCAAATTCACAGTAAATGTTGCTCTAATTTTGATGTAATATCACTTGACTAGGTTCCCCTACACACGTGATGGCCCTTATTCTTCATTTGCTGGTTTCTCCAACTGTGCTTGACCCTGAGAGGAAATCACTCAGGACCATGTTGCTCCTCTGCTAGGAGCAAACTCTAAAGTCCACATTAATGAGGTTAGGAATCCCAGTTCACACAAACAATAATTGTAGCAGAGTACTAACCTTGCCTGGTGTGTTGAGTCCTCTAGCTACCCACCTAAATATTGGATCTGCTGTTGCAGAGATATTTTGAGGGGATGACTTTTTTGTCTCTTTTCCAGTGTTTCTGTTAATGTCATCACACATTGAACACGTCAACTGTTTGTTCTTTAAGGCTAGACATGTTGTAGTGAAGGCTTTTTTCAAGACTAAAATTGTCAAAGTATTGCTTAACTTTAAATCACAAAAAAATTCTGGGTGGAATCCTTCAGTCACTAGCCTGTCCAGTTGGCTCTTGCTCTTAACTTGTGTGAGAAACTCTCGCCTTTTGCCGCAGAATGACACCCATCGGTAACTAGTTCTTTATGGGCAGGCTGTGAAGATGGCAGGTTTGTCAAGAAACCTGCATTACATAACGTGTAATGCTGCTAATTATCCGCTTTGCTGGTGCTTGTCAGGCGCCAGCTCTTCGCGAATGAGCTCAGAGATGTTTGAAGTCATGTGGTTGCACATCCAGCTGTGAACTTGCTGCCGTTCCGGTGTCACTAATTAAATCTGTATGCATTTTAGCATTTATTTGTTTCCATGCTGATGCTACCAGTCAGCTGGTGGCAAGATGATATCGTTGGAGCTACTTTCAGAGCAACTTGGGAGTCACTGGTGCACCATTCGAGTTCTTGTATACCAGAGACCATTTGTTGGGGGTGGTGCCAAGTTCAATGGAGGGCTGCCCTTACAGGTGTGCTAGGTAGCACAAAGACCCTCATCCGTCTTCTG